TTTATTTATTTATTATATGTAAGTACACTGTAGCTGTCTTCAGACACCCATATGAGGGCATCAGATCTCATTGTAGATGGTTGTGAGCCACCATGTGGTTGCTGGGATTTGAACTCATGACCTCTAGAAGAGCAGTCAGTGTTCTTAACCGCTGAGCCATCTCACCAGCCCCCGATAGGTATGTATTCTTAACACAAAGTTTTATCCGAATCAGTATGAGGACTCAGTAAGTACTATGTGAGCATGAGAACCCAAGTTTGGCTCCCTAGCACCCAATTAAAGAGCCATGCATGACAACGTGCATCTGTAACCCAGAGTTGGGAGGCAGAAACAGGTGGAGTCCTAGAGCTCACTGGTCAGCTGGCCTAGCCAAGTCATTGAGTTCCAGGTTCAGTGAGACTCTGTCTTAAAAACTAAGGTGGGAGGGCTAGGACAGGAAGTAGCCTTAGATACTTTGGTCATCCTGATAAGTCCTTAGGAACAGTGATCACAGGAGTGTTCACAGAATTTTGTTTATTGCCTTGCTTGTTCTTTGACTATTTGTGTTTATTGTCTTGCTTGTTCCTTGACTATTTGCATCTATTGTATTGCTAGTCCCTCAACGTAGAACTGACCTGAATACTTGCATGTAATTCAAATGGTATAAAAGCAAAAAGGAGGAGGGGAGATGGGATAGAGGGTTCTAGAGAGGGGAAATGGGAAAAGGGGATGACATCTGAAATGTAAATAAATAAAATATCCAATAAAAAAATGAAAAAACACCCAGCACTTGGGAGGCAGAGGCAGGTGGATTTCTGAGTTCGAGGCCAGCCTGGTCTACAGAGTGAGTTCCAGGACAGCCAGGACTACACAGAGAAACCCTGTCTCGAAAAAACCAAAAACAAAAAACAAAAAACAAAACAAAACAAAACAAAACAAAACAAAAACAAAAACAAAAAGATAAGGTAGGAGCCACTGAGTAAGACACCTGATGATGTCAACCTATGACCTCCATACATGTATAAATATAATGCATATTCACATGCAACACACACACAGATGTGGAGAGGGAGAAATAAAATTAACAGGAACAAGTTCAAGGCTAACCTGTGCTATATAGTAAGCTCCAGAGCTACATAATGAGACTCATCTATCTATCTATCTATTATTTTTTTGGTTTTGGTCTTTTTGAATCAGGGTTTCTCTGGGTAGCCCTGGCTATCCTGGAACTTGCTCTGTCAATCAGACTGGCCTCAAACTCAGATCTGCCTGCCTCTGCCTTCTTTGTGCTGGGATTAAAGGCCTACCCCACCACCACCAGACTTCTATTCTGTTTGTTTTAAAAAGAATCTTGTTGCCAGCTGGTAGTGGTACAGGCCTTTGATCCCAGCACTCCCACTTGGGAGACAGAACCAGATGGATCTCTTAGTTTCAGGCCAGCCTAGTCTACCCAGAGAGTTCCAGGACAGCCAGGACTACAGAGAGAAACCTTGTTTCGAAAAACTAATAAAACAAAACAAACCCAAACCAGAATAATCAGATGTGAATATTTTAAACAAAGTTTATCAAGGGGCTAGAGAGATAGCTCGGCAGCTAGGAACACTGGCTGCTCTTCCAGAGGATCCAGGTTTAACTCCCAGCACCCACATGGCAGCTCACAGCTATCTGTAATTCCAGTCTCAGGAGATCCAGGTCCTCCTCTGACTTCTGTGGGGACCAGGCATGCACATGGGGCACAGACACGCAGGCAGACAGAATGCTCATACACATAAAATAAAGATAAATGAGTAAAGCCATCAATAAGGTTTACTTCTCTATATTTTTATAGAGGGTTCATTGTATATTTAACCTTTTTAAAGGATATTGTAGAAAGTTGCTATCAAAAAAAGGTGGATTAAGATTATGGCAAATAATCAGAAAGCTAAGACCAATTTATACACAGTACAATATGTTCTGAAAAGCTGGAAGCTTGGTTGCCAGTTAGTAAGAATCAGAGAAACAAACAAGTTAAAGTATTGTTTCAGGAGAGATCAGCTGGTTAAAACACTGGACAGGGTTAGCTGGGTGCATGAGTTTAATCCTAGCACTCAGGAGGCAGAGGCAGGGGGATCTCTGTGAGTTTGAGGCCAGTCTGGTCTAGAGATAGTGTTGGAAGGCAGCCAGGAGAGCCTTTTGAGACAGAGAAACCTTGTCTCAAAAACCAAACCAAAACAAACAAACCAGAGGGAGTTAAAGTATCTACTATTTTTTTTTTTTTTATAAATTTTCTAACCATTTTCTAAAATGCAGACAAAAGCTCTACTGAAATTTTACAGATATTGTCTTTTGAGTTTAAATTTCCCATGAGAATTTTTAGATAAAAGTAGTAAAATGTAGCACTTAACAACTTAGTTGTTTTCTTTTCTTTTTTTCTTTTAATTTTATTGTTTAGCCCTGACATTGAACCCAGGGCCTTGAGTATGTTAGAAAAGGAAGTGCTCCTCCTCGGAGCTAAAGGCTTATTTTCTTGAAATGTTCTTTCTTTAACTATATTTACAAGTTTTACTTCCTTTCAGAATTAAACTCAAATGAGATCCTAGAGAAGTCTTCAGTGCCCATCACATTTTAAACTGCAAACCAAGTATGGTGCTGGTGGTAGTGGTAGGGGGATGTCAAAAGTTCAAGGCCAGCCTGTGCTCTGTAGTAAGAATGAATAGATGAGTAGAACTATACCCCAACATTACCTTTTCTATTTTTTTGTTTTGTTGTGTTTTTGAGACAGAGTGTCTCTATGTAGTCCTGGCTGTCCTGAAACTCACTATGTACACCAGGTTGGCCTTAAACTCACAGAGATCCACCTGCCTCTGCCTTCTTAGTGTTGGGATTAAAGTTGTGAGCCCCTAGGACTGGCCTTCTCTTATCTTTTTTTTTTTTTTTTAAACCATAACATCCATAACATTTATTGTCTCTTAAGAGAAAATAACTTGTAAAAAGTTTTATTTCTGATCTTTCACAATCTAACAAAGCCTGTGAAGAAAAGCTATAACAACTACATTATCCCAACACTACAACTCTTGATATGGAGAGGGCTCAGCACGTGGTCAGCAGGTGACGGGCTGCACTGACCTGGGGAGATGTCTATGGTATAACTTTGAAAAAATGAGAAAACTTGGCGTACAGTTTACATGTATTGTACCGTCCTGAGTAGAAGGTGAGATGGAGGACTGTAAAAGGCACTGCGGCACTCACAAACTATGCCGTTCTCCAGTTAGCTAGCAGTTTTAGGCCAGGCTGTACTTACTATTGACCAGCCAATTGTGAGTGGAACATCAGCTTTGAGTTAAATCAGTAAACATCTACCTGTGATTTTTCTAGTCTCTTTTCATTAAAGACATGACATATTTGAGAATGTTTTGTGACTGGGTGGCCTGGGCCCCTATGGGACTGCATGGAGTAATTACGCTGCCATTCTCTGTAAGACATGCAGTTAACAAATATGTTTTGTTGCACTGGATTTGGGAAGATGTTCCTTATTTCACCATACTGTAGTTTATTCCTTCCACACATATATACACGTACACAAACTAGCATCTTAAGCACACATTATAGGCCAGGAGACATATTGAATGTTTTATATGTATTGCTTTATTAGACCCTCACAGTGTCAGACGAGGTGCCAGATACCACATCAAAATTAGAAAGCTGCATCACAAATGTTCAAGGCCACAAGTTAAAAGGAAGCACAGAAAAGGAATTTCCGGCAATCCGGAGGACTATCTACCAAGCTGTTAACACGATCTTAACTCTGCAGGTGGAGCTATAGGGAGGGACACCTGGCTTCTTATCCTGTATTTCTCTAATGTTGCAATTAAAAAACAAATATTTTAATGAGTTCAGAGATGGAAGCCAAGTCGTTTCTTGGTATATTCAAGATATCTATCATCTATCTATCATCTATCTATCTATCTATCTATCTATCTATCTATCTATCTATCGACAGCATTTTTCTACATATCCCTGGCTGTCCTTGATTTCATTGTGTAGACCAGGTTGGCCTTGCACTCACAGAGATGCACAAAGCCTCTGGTCTCTAGTGTACCACCATGCCTGGTACTACACACACACACACACACACACACACACACGTGTGTGTGTGTGTGTGTGTGTGTATGTATGTATATCTCCATATCTCTGCTTCCTCACTTGTCAGATGGTGCTGAATGGTACTAAGGAGAGACACTTTGGAGGTGGGAGCCCACAAAAGGATTTCTCAAGCCTTCTCTGTACTGAGACTACAGAACAAGCACTCTATGGGCTGTACACAGGGCCCTGGCCTCTACCCCACTCTTCACTGTCTGGAGAACCTAGTGCCTCTTCTTGCCCAGAGTAAGCTGAAATGTTCTCGGTGTCCTAGAATGCAAAGTACTGCAGTGGAAAGCACAAGAAAGCTCAAGGGTGAGTGGCCTCAAATCAGTTTCTAGAAGACAGGAGCCGAGACTTGTCTCAGACATTTGGGAATCGGGATGTGATCACCAGTGAGTAACCCAAGTCCTGATTAATCAACTGCATGGATGTGAGGGAAGGGGACAAAGGGACTAACAGGGTAGGAGTTTTAGGACTCAGAGAATGAAAGGAACCCACACTGGTCATCGCTATATGCTGCTTTTACTCTTGTGGCTTTATTTTCAGATAAGGCGTGAGAGGGACGGGGTTACACGCGTACAGTGAGCGAAAGGCGCGTCTGGAAGGTAAACTGATGACGCAAACCTTGACTCTGATCCTTTCCCCACGCCCGAGTCGCCTAAATGCCCCAGAGCTCGGCCTCGCCCCCGGAGCCCCGCCCCGCAGGGCTCCTTTTGCGCCCCAGAGCCCCGCCCCGGCCCGCCCCCCGGAGCCCAGGAGAGGTGTGCGTGGCCGTGCCTCCGCGTGCGCAGCGGTGCGTGAGGGCGGGGCAGGGCGGAGGCGTTGGTCCGGCCACGTTCGTCCCGGCGGTTCCGGCTGCGGCGCGTGGGGGTGCACGGGGGGCGGGGCTGGCGCTGCAGCCGGATCCGGATGCGGCGGCGCTGTGACCCGCAGGGAGACTGACGCGCCGGGACGGGAGCGTGGTCCGCTCCGGTGCGGTGAGGCGGCCTAGGGCTGGGACGCGAGGGCTGGCGGGCTTGATACCGCTGCGGCCCGCGGAGGCTGGGACGCCCCTGTCTAGGAGCCGGGCGGCTAAGCTTGATGCCCGGTGGTCCGGCCGGGCAGGGTCTGGGGGGTCCTAGGGAGCGGAGTGTCCGTGGTGTGGGACTGGGGGACGGTCCTCGCCTTGTCTGCCGCCGTCGTTATGAAAGGGCGCGAACTCTAGGTTCCCTGTTACCGGTGCAGCGGTCAGAGCGGCTGAAGACACGCGCCGGCTCTGAAGAGCCCCAGCTGCGCAGACTGTATGAGACCTGGGGTGGGGGAACAACCTAGGACTTGAACCCCTAGAAACACCAACTGTGTGGTTTCTGTTGTAAAGGCTAATGTTTATGTAAGGCAAGCATAAAATTTGTTCCTGTAAAAATAAATGGGGATTTGTTTGGTTGGGATCTGATTTTTCTGCTGTAGAGCTCAATGGGAAAATGAGAGGATCTCATTCAAGGCCACTCATTTGTTGATGCATTACCTTAGGACTAGTCATAGGAACTCCGTGCTCCAACTGTGCAGCTAGATTGGGGATAATCAGATGGTGTAGATTAAGTACACTAATGGGAAATACTTCTTGCTTCATGAAATACTTTCTTCATGAAGATACTCGGAGCTGTCTACCTGTCTGTCTGTCTGCCTAGCTATCTGCCTACCTGTCACCTATCACAGCGATTTTGATTTGGCTGCAGATCATGTTTAGAAATTTGTGAATCCTGGTCTTCAGTCTTTCTTACTTGTTGCTCCCGTGTTTTTCTAGAAGCAGCTGCTCCCCATCTGAATCTAGTCTCATTCAGAGGCTGAAAAACCAAACTTGAAGTTTGGTGTATGTCTTTTGTGTTGTCACTCGTGGCCATGTGGCAATCTTTTTTTCTTCGTGACTTTCTGAGGTGTGATTTCTAGACGATACCTTCCGTCATTCATTATTCATTGACTAGAGGTTTACCTCGCTAGGGCTTAAGCAATACTCAGGCCTTGTGAACAAATGCTAATTTAGCAGTTAAACACGAAGGGCTAGAGGGAAAGTTGCTTGAGTTATGAGTTTATAGCCAAACTAGAGGAAGTTAGGTAGTGATGACCTTTAAGTGCTACAAAATGAAGGCTTGTTTTGAAAAAACAGCCTGTATAGCAGGGGTTAGCCTTGAACTTGAGGGGAGGAGTGGGGGGGTTACCTTAGAACCAACTTTTAAAAAAAATCTCCATGTTTATGTCAATTCCCATAATTAGTTTTAAACTGTGTCTTTGTGTTTTGAGACAGGTGTGACTGGGTAGCCTGCTGTCCTTGAGCTCCCACAGTTCATGCTTCAGCCTCCCTAGCACTGGATCCAGGTGTTTGCCACCTCACCTGAAGTTTTATTAGATTGTAATAAGGCATGGCCTTTGTCTACATCATAAATTGTGTCTTTATGACTAGGAAGATAGGCCTTTCCCCTTTAGGTTTTATAAACCTCATTTTAAAAGGGGCTTGACTCTAATCAGATCCTTTGTGTTTAACCAGACCAGTGCCTGTCGTCATCTGTTTAGTAATAAATGCTAGAAACTGATTTAATGGTGCTGAAGTATGGTGGGACACACCTGTAATCAGCACGGGGAATATGGAAACAGGAGAACCAAGAGTTAAAAGGAGGCTGGGGAGGCGGCTGAGAGAGTAAATCTTCTGCAATGGAAGACTGAGAACCAGAATTCTGATTCCCAGAACCCATGTAAAGAAAATAGGGTGGGCTTAGTAGCCCACCTGTAATCAGGAGACAGAGAAGTCCTTTGAGTAAACTGGCTATTCTCACTAACCTAAAAGTGGGTCGTGGGTTTGGGGAGAGAACTGCTTTCAGGATATACCGTGGAGAGAGATTGAAGAAGATGCCTGGTGTCAACCTTGGGCCTCCACTCTCACAGGCACAGGTGCACATGCACCCAACACACATACAAACACGCCTGCACAAGTGCACAGGTACAATGAAGGGCAAGAGGCCAAACTAAGTAAGCTACATGATGAAACCCTGTTCTTAGAAAGTGATTTCCTGGCATTGTTTAGTTCCTTCTTCACTATTTATGTGGCTTCCTTGTAGATAATGTACTTACCCACCCACTGACTTTGGACCTGGGTAGCTGGTCAGTGGAACGTGGCTAGAAATTACTGTGCTAATCACAGGTTGCCCTTTTCTGCTTGCCCCTTGAGTTTGTCACCTTTGCCAGGAGGAGAGCTTATCTAAAATGGCCTTTTCAGTATGGGTGGAGATAGCTTAGTGAAGGATAAAGGGGAACAAGGAGAATCAGAGTGGGGGGACATGTGGGAAGGGACACAGCTTTCATGCCTTTGTTTAGTTACCTGGAAGCTTCAGGGTTTACTTTGTAAAACTTAAAGTGCATGCTAAAGTACTTCAGCTATGCACTGTAACATTTAGCTACGTAAACGTGTCACTTTATTTGGGAGCCTTTTAAGGATTTCTTTTGTAAATCAATTATTGATAACCCGTGAGTTCTTTAAAATCCTTTAGTGTCAATCACATCTTGCTTTCCCTTTCCCAGCATCCCCGTTGGGCACCACCAGCGTTGCTAGTTGAAGACTGAGCTCGGGTGAACCCAATGTGGCTGCTTCCATTTTGTAAACAGTACATTAAAACAAGATAGTCATTTCTTGGTGCCTGGACAGTGGGTTCTTATTTCTACCCAGAATGCCTTTATACATTTTTGATTAGTGTGAAATTCTCATTTCCAAAATTGAGCTTCTAAGTACTGTTGTAACTTTTTAATTCTTATACAACAACGGAATACAGGGATTTGGCTAAGCTAGACTAGTAAATAGGTGACGTCATTCTGCTTAGTAGAATCAGTGATGTAACTTGTGATAAAGTGCAAAAGAAAAACATAGCACTCACTGCTAGAAAACTGCTAGAGTTTCAGAGTGACACCAAGCATTAACTCATGTGCATTAGGCCTGTGACGCTGTCTGTGGTCATGTTATTGTCCTCAGCTTGGAACTTTAAGCAAATTCCTCTCTTTTCTTGCTCATCTATAAGATACGATCAGGATACATCTTTTATTGGTTGTTAAAGAATTAACAAATATAAAGCACAAACCAAATTAATCAATATTACATATTTTATGATCATTTACAAAATAGGACCATCTAGTTAAAGAAATGTACAGGAAAAAATATTAATAACTTGTTAAAATTTATTATGACTTAATTTTTTTTGAGACAGTTTCATATAACATTGGTCATATGTGTGTCTTGAGACATATTCCACAGTGTAACCCAGTCTGGCCTTATTCCCTTAGTGTCTCAAGTTCTGGGATTATAAGCGTGTCCCACTGTCTCTGGTGTATAGCATGAAAAACAAACCACCACCACCAAAACCCCACTGGTTATTAAACTGTTTAGAAGCAGCTACCATAGGCATTTAGAAAGCCTGCCATGAAAACAAATGCAGACACAGTATCTGTCATGGCTAAGGTAATACTATTGTGAATACAGAGAATAGTGAAGTAATTTAAGTAATTCCTAAGTTATCTTGTTTGTGGTTCATATGTAAGTCACGTTCATATGTTCAAGTGGGTCTTCAGTGACCCTGGATACCAAGTGATTTCTGAGCCTCGTGATAAATGTAAGCCTCTAACTGTACAAACCTGAGCACCCCTAAGACGTCAGTGCTGCCCAGTAGCCCAGCCCACAAGGGTAAGGCACTACATGACCTGCTAGAGAATGGAGTTTTTCTTTTGTTTGTTTGTTTGGTTTTTCGAGAGAATGGAGTTTTAAAGTCTTGTTTTTGTTGATTTAATTTCACTACTGAACACATTTCCCAACTGATATTAAAGATGGTTTTTAATATGTAAACATGTTTACAGTTAGAGATTCTAGGTAGCTAAAGTAGAGTAGCTGATAAAATATTATAGAACCCACTTGTATGATGAAATTAACTTCCTCATCAAGCACAAATTTTCTTTTATAAGGCCTTTCAACATTCAAAATTTTATTTTAGACTTTACTGGAAAGATGAAACCTGATGAAACTCCTATGTTTGACCCAAGTTTGCTCAAAGAGGTGGACTGGAGTCAGAATACAGCTATATTTTCTCCAGCCATTTCTCCAACGCATCCTGGAGAAGGCTTGGTTTTGAGGCCTCTCTGTACTGCAGACTTAAATAAAGGTATGGGCCCAACTTTAGTTTGAGAATCCTAACTGGAATTTGTTGCTTTCTTCATAAGTATGATGCAAACTTAAAATAGTACTTTTGTACTTAAAGTGACTGGTTCACTCAACTGTAATAGGCATGGATCATGGCTAAGATCAGATATTTCTATGATATATTTAAAAATAACGAAGTACAAGAGTATTCCATCCAAAAGGATGTCTCAAAAACAAAAGTGAAGTTATAATGTATGAAACACATGAAGAGTTTCTCCAAGAAGCTAGACAGGCAAAGGTACATTCCTTGGACAAACTGAAAGGGTTTTATTTAGTCCCATGTAATTCTTTAACATCTAAATTATCCAAAATAATTTCTTGAAACTTTGGTAATAACATTTTGTCTCACTATTTTCTTCTAGATAGGTATTTGAATAAAGTGTCTTTGGCCAGAATTATTGCATGTAGAAAAATTAAGACTAAAACAGTTCAAAATGTACTTTTAGCATTACCATTAGTTTTTTGGGTTTATTTTTATTTTTTTGAGACACAGTCTATGTAGTCCTGGCTGTCCTTGAACTCAGACCTACCTGCCCCTGCCTCGCAAGTGCTGGGATTTTTAAAGGCATGTGCCACTATGCCCATTGGCATTATCTTTTTTTTTTTTTCTTTTTTTCGAGACAGGGTTTCTCTGTGTAGCCCTGGCTGTCCTGGAACTCACTCTGTAGACCAGGCTGGCCTCGAACTCAGAAATCCGCCTGCCTCTGCCTCCCAAGTGCTGGGATTAAAGGTATGTGCCACCACTGCCGGCCAGGCATTATCATTAAAATTAAAAAATTTAAAAATTGTTCCAACAGCGATATATTAGTTACCCTTTATCTTACAAGTGATATATTCAGCGGCGGTGAGAATCTTCTTGCACTTTTTTGAGTCATGTATTTAGGAAAATGTGGCATCCCTTACATAAAATTTAAATAGCACTTAACAGTGTACATGCTGGTTCTGTAATTATTGATAGTAAGGTCTGAACTACCTTAAAATCATGCAGGCAAATATTGTTGAAGGCTGTCATTTGCTATTGTTTATAAAAAGAATAGGTACTGTATGAAAATGCCCTTATGTGTACAGGACCATGTATAATGAATGCACACAATACACTGTTGAAAATTTGCATGTTTAACCAGCAAACCTTGATTAAAGATTATTATGAAACATGATTATAGAGTTTTGAAAAAGTAACTTTCTTTAACCCACCTAATGTTTCTGCTGCTTTCCATATTTTAATCTTTTTTTTTGCTTTTCTCCTCAAATGTTTTAAAACTAGGTTTTTTTAAGGTATTGGGTCAGCTGACAGAGACAGGTGTTGTGAGCCAGGAGCAGTTCATAAGTAAGTACCATGCAGCACCTTATCTGAATGCCTAGAAGTCTGTTCAGTACCTGCTCAAATAGCTGAAAGTTATAAATCAGCCATCCTTATAGAATCCAGATGTTTTGTATAACTTGATATTTACTCTAGAATTACTTTCCTTTTATTGTAGTATATCTTTTTTTTTTTTTAAAGATTTATTTACTTATTTATTATATATACAGCGTTCTGTCTGCATGTATCCTGCAGGCCAGAAGAAGGCACCAGATGTCATTATAGATTGTTGTGAGCCACCATGTGGTTGCTGGGAATTGAACTCAGGACCTTCACAAGAACAGACTTAACTCTTAACTGCTGATCCATCTCTCCAGCCCTGTAGTATATCTTCCTATGTGGTTATGTTTAGCACAGAAATTTCATTACCAACTTAAAAAAATTTATGAGTTTATTTTCCTATTCTATTCTATTCTATTCTATTCTATTCTATTCATTTCTTCATTCATTTTTTTATGTTGAATTTTAAGGTTGGGTATCTTAGTCTAACAATCCCCTTCTCCCTTTGAGACATGAGAAAATGGGTTTCCAAAAAGAACCAGTCATACCCAAGATCACAGTTAATTATTGGCAAGAAAGATGGAACCTTCTTAGCTTTATTCAGTGTCCTAACTCTATGAATGCATTTCCTTTAGTCAGTAATTTCTCCAACCAGGCCAAGAATGAAGATCAAGATTCTATAGTTTTGTTTATTTTCCTTCATTGAATTATTTCCCTCCCTACTTGGAACCTATATAGAATGATACTTTGAAAATAAACACTATCTGAGTTTTAGAGCTTGGCTTTTAAACCCCTTTGCTTCTCTGCATTCGTATCAGAATAGATGAAAAAGTGTAGCTTTTTCTAGCAATATAAAGTGCTAAATGCTATTTGAGGGAATGTAGCTTTGCTTTTATTGGTTGTATGACTTTGGAAAAACTGCTTAAGTAGGGATGTATCTCATCTTTGTAAGGTGCCTTTATAGCAAAGATCCTATTTCTAAAAGAACAAATACGTAATCATAAAACATTGGAAAAACAAATGGAAAACTTTTGTCAAAATATTTTGAAACCAAGACTGAATTGTGGATATAATATGCTCTTATAATAACCTGCAGTTTTGTTCTTTGAGTATCTGTTGAGTGTTAGTTTTAGATAAATGTAAATTAAGTGAGAAGATTTGACATTTTAGTCACAGAAATGGCAACATGCAGAGTTTATCTGTAATACTGTGTTGCTCATCTGAAAGAACTTGAGTCTTACCTTGCTAGCAGATTTGTGTGTGTGTGTGTGTGTGTGTGTGTGTGTGTTTCTGGGTACTAAACCAGGTAACATCACTCTCTACTTCAGGGTTACATCGCCATTCTGTATTAACAGATGAATTTAAAGGTGTGGACCACCCAATGCTGACCATTGGTATTTCAACTCCTTGATGTTTTAAATAATGTAGTATTTTTAGAAGAGGAAACGGGCTGGTTGTAGTGGTACCCTTAATTCTAGAGCTTGGGGGGGGTGCGGGGGGAGGGGTCAGAGACAGGAAGATCTCTGTGAGTTCAAGACCAATCTGGTCACTTCCAGTCTGGGCCCCAGCATAGAGCAGGTCACAGGCAGCAGCTCAGCACCCAACCCCAGAAAACCGAGAGAAAGAGGGACTCCCAGGAGCTTTAACTCAGGCAACATCCCAGGTAAAAATGAATCACCCGTGATGTCTGCTGTTAGAAGTTCTAATCCAGATGCTGGCCTCCGAACTTACACTACTCAGACCTTTGAAGGGCCACTGACAAGGACATCAAACAGCTAGAGATTGACATCACTAACCTGAAGAAATCCCTCCTTTCGCTGTCTGAAGAGACTTCCTAAAATCGCAAAGATCCTTATTGGACTTGATTTACTCTATTACAATAGAAAAGGCTGTGTACAGCTCTTGACTGTGTACAGCTCTTAAAGAAGAAGGTTGCTTTTACAGAGAGAAGACAAGGAGGGTTAAAGAGAGCATGAAACAGGTAGTGAAGGCCCTAAGAAAAATCAGAGAGAGAAAGAGACAGATGAAGGCTGGTATAAGAATTGGTTTTCAGCCTCCCCAAGGTTGTCAACCCTATTTCCTCCCATCTTGGGACCATTATTTGGGTTGTTTTTGCTTTTTTTCTGCTGGTCCCTGGCTCTCAAACAGGCGGACTAACTCTGTGATACAACAGATAAATAATTTGGTAGCAAAACCTACTCAGATACATTATCATAAGTTAGCTATGGAGGACCACGAGACTCAAGATGAGGTTGCTACTTTATACAGGGTGTTCCCAAAACCCATCTCCACCCAACCTAAAAAGAAGGGACTTCCGCCCCTAGACCAAGCAGAGAGGGGCCACCCAGAACCCCCTCTGTCAGGCGATCTGAATTCTTGCTTAGGCTGCGAGGCTAAGCACTGCAAGGGAATATAAATAAAAGTTAAAAATATCTCTCTGGGTTCCCTGAGGGACAAGCCTGACTGCATAGGGGTTGATGTCAAAAGTATCCCCTCTCCAGAAAAAAGACATCGGGACGGGTATGGTCCTCATGCCTCACTGGACAACGACAGGGGGACTGGAGCCATTACAAGGTCCCCTTCAAATACTGGAGGTCAGGCCTCTATCCCTGCCTTGGCAAGATTAGATTCGCCACAGCCCGTCTATACTTAGAGAAGGGAGGAGAGGTCAGGGGCAGCCCTGCTTACCCACTGAAGGCCTAAAATCAGCAATAGGCCTGTCATACATGTATACTAACACCAAGTCTTGGGTCTCAGTGGAAAAACATTGAAACAGATGGCTATAAGCTAATGTCAACAGGCAGCTTTTGTGGAGATTCACCAGCCTGAGTAGTCATAGACCTTGTAAATAGGTAGCCTGGGCAGACAATACCAACTTAGATAAGGACAAGCGAGTTATAGGCAGAGTCAGTGACTTGTCCCCTGAACCTTCACCCAGCCGATACCCGGTTCTGATGATATCTGTATTCCCCCTGATCACCCACACTCCAGTGTCATTCCCTTCCCCACATCCTGCCTTTCTGTGTTTATAACCCCTGTGTGAATGAATTACAGTTTGAGAAAAAATAAATTATATATATATGAAAAGAAACACACACACACAAAAGACCAATCTGGTCTACAGAGGAAGTTCTAGAACATCCAGAGTGATATAGTGATACCCCTTCTCAAAAAACCCAAATAAATAAATGTCTTATGCTCAGTTTACTTCACTTGCTAGAAACTTAAGCACTGTGGCAAAATAGCTTTAACATCCAAAGATGAAGTCTGACAAACTTGGTGCTTTTCTTGAATTCAGTAAAATAGAAATGCCTACTATCTAACACTTTTTGACATTTCCTGACAGAATCTTTTGAGCATATGAAGAAGTCTGGGGATTACTATGTTACAGTTGTGGAAGATGTGACCCTAGGACAAATTGTGGCTACAGCAACTCTGATAATAGAACATAAATTTATCCATTCATGTGCTAAGGTATGTACTCAGATTAATGCCTTTGAATAAAGCACACAGATATTTTCTAATGAAACCAACTTGGAAACTTCATTAGCAAAATCAGTGTTCCAGTAATTGTTCATTGCTCCTTAGCAGAAGACACTTCTGAAGTTTCTGCAAATTACCATCCAATGTGAGCCAGCAGGTAGATGGCTCAAGAGGTTGGCCACCAAGCCCAACCACCCAAGTCCCAGCACTGGGATCGGCAAGTCCAAGGATAGAACTAAGTATCACATGTTGTAGTGTGACTTCCACAGATACCCCAAAAGCCATTCACAAATGCAGACACAAATCCACTCACCTTTTCTGGACGTAGGAAAAAATGAGCATGTACTCTGTAGGTTATGGGCTTTAGTTTCTGCACTTAACATTGGTAAGCTGTGCTGGATATAAATTGTTATTAACTAACAAGGAGGATAGACTATGTTTATGACAAGATGACATTATGGTGACTGGGGTGTGGAGGTCTGCTTTAATAGAGACGGGAGGTTGAGAGGGATATAGCTAAAAAACCGGTAAAGGAGCGGCTGATTTTCCTGTTTCCTGTGAAAAAGTAAAGACTGTCATTATCAACTGTTGGCTTAGTGGAAAAGAGGCTGAAGGCTCATCCTGTAGTACTGTGATTGTTTGCAGAGAGGGAGAGTAGAAGATGTCGTTGTTAGTGATGAGTGCAGAGGGAAGCAGCTCGGCAAACTGTAAGTATGTGCACGGAACCATGGAAACTGGATCATTTCTGTCACTTTGGCCTCTTGCTGAGATTTTTCTAATTTATTTCTGACCTTTAATCCTGAACTTATTCCCTGTATCTTAGACTGAATTTAATGAAAAATTAAATATAGTTTTGTTAGTTTTACCTCAGAATTTGAGAATTGAAAACATTTACCAAGAGTAACATGTAATTGAACTGTGCACACATGTTTGTATGGTACTGTTGACTCTAACATCCTAGGCAAGTTGTATTCTACCACTGAGGTATGTTGCAAGCAGTCTCCTCAATAGCAGTCCTTCCCACCTCCAAACCCCACCTTTGGTTTTGTTTTCCTAGACAGGGTTTCTCTGTGTAGCCCTGGCTGTCCTGGAACTCCGTATCCAGACCCAAAGTCACAGAGACTCACTTGCCTCTGCCTCCTGAGTGCTGGGATTAAAGGTGTGCACCACTACTGCTCAGACTTTTTTTTTTGAGACAAGTGTCTCATTAAATTCAGCCTTGTGATTTTTCTGCCTCAGTCTCCGGAGTAGTTGAAAACAGGCCTGGCTTAAACAGGCCTCTTTAACTCTTAATACTAGCATTCTCAGACTTGAACAAGTCACAGTGAGTACCCAGCACCTCCATCAGATAAAAATCAAAGGGAATGTTTAATATTTACATAGGGTAACTGCCAGGTTATGAGTTTCAACTCGTCTACTCAGTAAACAGGGTCAGGTGTGTTATCATACAGTGCCCTAAGTATTGAAAGACTTGACTTACGGAATGAACTGCACCAGCTCTTACTCTTCTAATCCATTCATGTCTAACAGTTTTGAATGACAAAAGATAGTTTATTCAAACCCGAAAGCCAGATGTGCCTAACTATAAAATTGGCTCACAGGAAGCTGAGGCAGAAAGATCACCTTAAGCTCAAGGCCAGCCTAGATTATATGACAAGATCTTATCTAAATATACAGACACATAACAGGAGAAAACCCTTCAGTTAGCACAGCAATTAGTCAACTTTTTAAAAATTTTGTTTTCCTTTGTTTCAGACAGGGTTTCTCTGTATATTCCTGGCTGTCCACTCACTCTGTAGACCAGGCTGGCCTCAAACTCAAATCTCCCTTCTTCCTTTCAAGTGCCAAAATTAAAGAGATTCAGACTAATCTTGAGTTTATCTGATCCATATTTCCTTTAAAAAGTAGCTTTTAAAATGATTGAAGATGCTTAGCATGGTGTCACAAACCTTTATTCATAGCTCTCAACAGGCAGAGGCAGGAAGCAGAGGCAGAGGCAGAGGCAGGCAGATCTATGGGTTAATGCTGGCCTGTTCTACATAGCCAGTTCCAAGCCAGCCAAGGCTATATATAATGAGACTGTCTCAAGAACATAGCTATTTCATACTCATTTTATATGAACCTGGCAAGTGTCTTAGTTGGAGTAGGGCATAAAGGTACTCCAACCCTGCAACCTTATGGTATCAATCAGATAAAGGGCATTCTTTGTGAGGTAAACCTATCTCTGAGCTATACCCCAACCTGGAACAAAGATATTTTGGGGTTCATTTTTTGAGTTAAGGTCTTGTGTTGCTTTATAGTAGAAGATGACCTTCAATTCCAGAGCCTCCTGTTTGGTTTGTGTCACCAAAGCTAGCTAGAAACCTTTCATAAAAAAATGGGCCATGTTTTTCAAGATTTGAGACATTTTAGTGTCTTCTTGTTTGTTTTTTGCTGTGTTTGGTTTCCCCAATCCCAGTATTGGGGTTGAAGCTAGAGCTTCACAGTTGCTTGAAAAGCACTCCATCACTGCTGTTTTCTCATTAAGTCTTAGTCTGAACCTATGCTCATTCCAGACATGCTGTGTAGTTCAGTTAGTCTTGCTTTACACTCATAGCAATCCTCTCTTTAGCCTCTCAAATAATGTCATATAATGCCACTCACTATACATAGGCTCATGCATAAATTCTTTTTAAAAATTTTTAAATTTTAAATGTGTGGGTGTTTTGCCTATGTATATATGTGTGCATGACTCCTGTTCCTGGTACCCTCAGAAGCCAGGGAGGTATCTGATGCCCTGGGAGAGGAGTTACAGATGGTTGTGAGCCAGGTCCTGGGAATTAAATCAGAAAATTTGAGAGCAGGCAGTGTTTTTAACCGCTAAGCCAAGTCTCTAGCCCTGCATGTGAATTAAAAAAAAAAAATGTTATGCATATAGGTGTTTTGCCTGTATGTATATATGTGTACTACTTGCATGCCTGTTGTCTGTTGAGGCCAAGAAGTCCAAAGAGGGCAAAGATTACCTGGAACTGAAGATACAGTTAGTAGTAGCCATGTGGGTGCTAGTCCTCTGGAAAAGCAAGTGCTATCTCTCCATCCTCTCTCTATTATAAAAAAAGTTTAGAGGTTAGCAAGGTGGGTGAGAGTTGTCACTCTTGGGAGGAGTCTATGCCTCAGTTTGATCCCAAGAAAGCAGAAAGGAGAGAACTACTCAAAATTGTGAAAATTGTGCTCTGAACTCCACCCTTGTGCTGTTGCTGTGTCCCCCCCTCCTATAATAAAAGAGGATGTAGGTTATTTATTAACCGTCTGGAGACTTAACGTTGTTTGAAACAAAATAAAAATGCCTCAGCAATTTAAATGTTTATTAACTTAATAATTTGAACACTTTAAAGGTGTATTATTGGAAGGGCCATGATCTAAACTTATATACTGAATAAGTACTTTTATTTTTATATAACACTAATCTGTGTTATTATCAAGGCCCATTTTGGTTAATGCTGTCTCATACTTTTTTTTTTTTTTTTTCAGGTTATTATCAACTCTTACTTTGCTAAGCAAGAAACTGAACTGTTACAAGATCACCCTTGAATGTCTACCACAAAATGTTGGTTTCTACAAAAAATTTGACTTTACAGTATCTGAAGAAAATTACATGTGTCGGAGGTTCCTAAAGTAAAAACCACCACCAAGAGGTTAATGCTACAAGGCTTTACTGTTTTAGAGTTCTTTTTTGTTGCTGCAACCCAGTGAGCTCCCTAACTCCTAGACTGAGAAAATGCTATATATGCCAGTGTCGTGACACAGGAGCAGCCCATGGCTGCTGGGAGTACAAATGATCACAAAGGGGGATGATTTTTAACCAAAGGAATATATTTTCAACTTGAATCTTTTCTTGCATTGTATTTTTCTAAAGTTTGTCTTCATTTCTTGGTAGTCAAGAGTATGGGTAGTGAACAGTTACGTCTGCTCTATGCTGCTCATTTTTAAATATATGTATATATATTGAATAAGGGTGTTTCTTACCATAAAATTATTTTTTGTCTCATACATCTATATAGACTTAAGGTGCACCACTTCTCACATTACAGTTGGACACTTGTTATTATGAACCACCAGATACATACTTGCACATTGATAATCCTATCCCTCCACAGTCTTTTTAAAGCAACAAAAGAGAAGAAAAATGGGAAAAGGTACAACAGCTTAAATAACTATTTTACTAAGTGTAGTTTTGTGCAGATACTGTACTACCTGTCTCATCTACCACATGATGTTAGAATTATCCATGGGCAGATACAGAGATTCACGGTCCTTTTCATCAGTCAGTGAGCAGCTCCCAGTGGAGCTTCTACCCTGGTTCCTGTTATCATCGACATCTGAAGCCTTTGAGTCACAAAAAATGTGTGTACTGCCTTTTTGGTGTAGCTTTTCTATTTAATGTGATTATAATGGTACTATTACTCTGGTCACTGTCCTGTTTTATTTATTTTAATGATTTTTAAAATAGAATCAGATACTTTATTAATAATGGTTCTAATCTTTTTGCATTCCATGTTATTACATTAAAGTTGTTTATATGAATAGTCTGTCACATTAGAATCTTGTCTTGTGTTTTTCTTGTTTGTTGACACATGGTGCCTGGAACTCCTCACACATGTTCTAAGAACTGGTATTCTAGGCACACACCACCATGATCAGCTTGAGTCTATTACGTTAAGACCTGGCTCTTAACAACCTAGTTTTATGTATCTTTTGGATTACTTCAATTGGACTTTTGGATTTTCCTCTAGTCATTAGGTTGACTTCCATTTTTAGAGTTCTTTAGTTCTGTAACCATGACAGAGCTTCATTAGAATTTACCAATGTTAAAAAAAGCCTTTCCCCCAAAGTAAAATTTAGCACTTTATTTCTTAGTGTTGTTAGTATTTCTGTAAAACCCACGGAGTTGTGTTAAGGTTTCTCTTAAATCCCTCTTACAGAAACAGTTGTACGTCACCAACTGAAAGAGTTTTAATAATAAAGAGTTAACTCACCTTAATCTGTGGGAGTAAAGCTGGGTACTTTTACCCAGAAGACAAAGAAGTTTTGAGGCATAAGGAATACGAATGAGCTTCTCAATCATTTGAAGTACAATGGCACAACAGTTTTAATACAACCACCAGTCTTCACAAAATAATTTTAATACTTTGTGCCCAGGCTAGCAGCATCTTGCACTGTGACATTCCTATACATACATAAGTATTTTATCTGAGTACAAATGTTAAATGTAGAATAACGTAAGCAATTGCCTATACAGAGGTAAATAGACACGTATGTTACTTTTCTTGAGTCACTTTTGCTGCATAGTAAATTGCAATTACATGTCACTATCATGTTACTGATTGAGAAAACACTTTGAACTGTGAGGTATGGTAGCTCCCTGTAAGAGAAGCATAACATGTAAACCTGAATATTTTGAGTGATTTTTTTTTTTTTTTAGCTGCCATGAATGGGAAAGACAAAAGAATTATCCAGCACTCAAGACTCTAGAAACTTATTTTCCTAATTAAAAAAAAATAAAACCCTTGCATAATTCTCAGCTATTTCCTACTATTTCCTCATTGGAGTGTTGCTGAATGGACAAAGATACTGTAAATACTGAGGTGGAGCTATGCTTTAGGATTGTGGATTAAACCAGTTATTAAAAAAGATCCATCAGGTAACTGCTTATTTACTTTACATCAAGTTGACATCCTAATATATACATCTCAACTTCATAATTCAAGATTGCACTTAAATACTTCTAATTAATTTGAATTCCATAGTAATTAAACAATTAAGAACCTTATGTTTTATTACAAAGGACATGCTTAACTTTTTCTGACATTACTTCTAGACTCAGATTAAGTACAACCCTACACCCCTTTCAAATGAATAGTCTGCTCTAGAAGCGGTTGAAAGCTGGTGGCAGAGTTATCACACTGGAACATTCCTTCCTACCATAGAGTTGGTAAAACATCTAACAAACAAGAAACTAACAGGAATCAGTTAAATTAGGAGAAGACTCCCTTCTCCACTCCAGTTTCCAGGAGCTGTCTCAAACTTTCAAAGTGGGGAGTAATAAAATTCCCTATGTTTTGATAAAAATGTATAGTTTTAATTATGAGCCCAGCTTACATATTTAATGTTGAAACTGGGTGAACATTCATACATTATTCAAGTTGTCTAGAGAATAAATCATGATTGGATAAGTTTATCATAGTTGACTTACAAAACACTGGAAATGGAACCTAAGACAGCTACTTAGACAGTAAATACAGAGGAATCAAAGAAGCTTGGAGGCTTCTTATGGAAGGACAAACCTCATCTGTCCATATCAGCTGTGCTCAACATGGTAGCAGTCCTAGTGTCTATGACTCTCCAGTTTATCGTGCTGGATAGGCACTTTATGTGAAAAGAAAAAAAATGACAGTGGATAGAAAAATGGAAAATTACCAGCTACAAATGACTGTCAATAACCTCTGTGTTTTTGGACAGACTCCTATTTAAAGAGGAACATGTATTTTTATAAAACTTACTTTAAAAAAAGTTATTTCAAACATCTCATCTTGGAAAAACCATTTTTTAAAATGGAGATTGCTTTAATAAGCACAATTTCTGTTCAACGAGTCATAGATTATGGGTTGACTCCAAGAGAGATCTTTGTTGACCTGTCCGGTGGTGATGTGTATACAGGAATTTTTGAATACTCAATGCAATCTTGGCTCTACTAGACCACCATGCCTGTGACACAATAGAATTAAAAGCAATGCTGTGTTTTAGAACTGAAAGATCGGAGATGGGATGGAAACCAGAAGAGGATAAAGATCAAGGTAACAGTAATTCTGGTTTATATTCAGGCTCCCACTGTGAAGGACAAAGAGCCTTTCTATGCTGTTAATGTCATAAGGTGGTGAGCAAAGCCAAGTAACTTAAGTGTAACCTGTTTGTTACCTTACACAGTGCCTCATGGTACCCTGGAAGTGTGCGGGTATCATTCCCAACAGTAAAGCACCTCGGAAGAGGACTGAGGAACATTCAGCTTGTTAAAGGAGCTGGGTTTGTGCTACCCTAAAGTCACATACAAAAAGTTAAAACACTTCTCTCTTCTGCACATCACACTTACAATAGTAAAATGTTTTTTTGTAGAACAACTTTTATACATATTGATAAAAACATGGAAAACTAAAGAGCCATAAAATGACAACATTGGTAATGCAGATTATGGTGTAAATTTGAGTTAATTTAGGAACAAAACAGTAATTTACAATACACTGAAGCCACCCACAAACTGTTTTCCCCAATGGCTACATCTTCAAAGCAAAGCTGTCAGCTGAACCTCACAGAAGTAATACAACGTAAAATAGAAGTAAATGTCTCATTCCAAATAATTTACTTTCTTCAAGCATCAGATTTAATTTATGGTTTTAAAACAATAAATTAAAGAAAAATGTTAATAGCTTTTCACTGCTTTATATACTAATTTAGAAGTCATGAGGATTTGCTTGTTTGTTGATGCAAGGCACTTTTCTTTTGGGGGTTTCATATTGAAGAAACAGTGCTACATTGGTTTGGTCTACTTTGAACCATTTTGGATAAAAGTTAGAAGAGCTAGGCAACTCTGAAAAGACCAAGTCTACATTTGGCTTAACCAGTAAAGAGAAAAAAGTCATACGGAAAATATAACACTATCCTTATTTTTTGAGTATCTGGTTCTGGAAAATAAGACTTCTTTCTTTGATCATTTCAACTTTTCTCATTTAGAGTAAGGGAGGCAATTGGAAAGGAAGTATTAACTGTATTAAATTAGTAAAGTAGGCTAGTTGGCTAAAGTCATGATTTAAAGATATGGGACCAAGAAGTTTAAAAAAATGGTAATCAAGTTACTGAATTATACTAAAAAAAAAAAACGTGGATGAGTTCTACATTTTGTTAACATTTCTGTAAGAGGCTCCATCATAAAATTGAACTGTAAAATTACTTTAAATGTAATATATATAACACAAAATGAGTTTTTAGGAAACATTAGGAAATTTGTTTGTTATAAATTATCCAAAATCTATAAACAAATCCCCCTAACTTGCATTTTGTTTAAAGTAATAACTTTATATCATACAAATAAATTTCAAGTATGAAAAGTGCATTATTGCAATAATACCTCTTTGCAAGTCCAAAATTCTTGGTTTATAATAAAACCATAGTTTTTTTTTTTTTTTTTTTTTAAAGTAAACCCATCACCCATCAGCGCCATCTACTGCAGAAGTCCAACATCTTAAAGTGTTGCTCAACAAGTTGCAGAGAACCATGTCTGGAAGCAACGTATAATTGAAAAGAAAGTACTTGTGTGTTTACCATGTCACATTATCACCACTAGGATCCTCTCCTTCCCAGATGGAAGCTCACACCCATCTAACAGTCCTCAGAGGTCAGCCATCTTGTGCAATTAACAGTTGTCACAGGTCAGCCGTTCTGTGCGGTTGCCACTTGCATGCTTCCAAAGTCATCGTCTTCTTCATGTGTTCTTTTCACACTACCTAAAGGTTATTGAATGAATGTACAGTGAAAACTTACAGAAACTCACATTAGGATACTACAGCAAAAATTTCTTCTTCCACCAAGAGATACTATATTAGCATTATAAAAATTTTATGCTTGAATTTATAGCACGCTTATGTTGTATCATGAAGATAAAGTTACTTTGGCGCCGGGCACCAAAGTGGTGGTGCACGCCTTTAATCCCAGTACTTGGGAGGCAGAGGCAGGCGGATTTCTGAGTTCGAGGCCAGCCTGGTCTACAGAATGAGTTCCAGGCAGGACAGCCAGGGCTACACAGAGAAACCCTGTCTTGAAAAGCCAAAAAACAAAAAAAACAAACAAACCCCCACCCTCAAAAAAAAGTTACTTTGGCAACTTAATGTCTTGTACATAGTAAAAGGTTTCAAAAGTCGGTGGTACATTAAATCTGATAATCACCAACTTTATGCTTTGTAGACAATATAAACATGTCCAAAGACAACTACTCATTAGTAGATGAGTTTGTGGTCAGAAGACTTTCAGATATAATTGTTCTGTTCACACAGTTATAGTTATGAAGAGCAACAGTTGAAAATATTTTTCTGCTAATGCTGTGGCTTTATCATCTAGACCTATGGTTTAGGAGCAAGGAACGCACACATCAGATAAGAGGTCCATTTTACTCCTTATACCAGAGTCTTCTGTACAAAAATATCCCACCAAGAATAAAAATTATCTCTGTGTGCCCTATAATCATATTCAGAAAGAAGTCTTGTGGAGGGGACAGCTAAAGGATAGTTAAATGGCAGCTGTCTGTGCTCTGTGACTAATGATGGCATGGCTGCAGGTTTAGAGTTGTGCTACATCATAGTATAGTCCAGATTGCAGATGGTTTGTTTTGTTTGTTTTTTGAGACAGAGTTTCTCCATGTAGCCCCAGCTGTCCAGGAATTTGCTCTCTAGATCAGGCTGGCCGAGGACAGGGAGTTGCCTGGCTCACATTGCAGATTCTAACAAAGTTATTGCTTAAACCAATGGAATAAAAGTAGAAGATAACTTCTAGCTTAAGAGTAAGCACAGGTGCATGGCTCCCATACAGTGATATGCTTCTCCAGGAGGGACTGGAGAAGAGTACAGTGAACAGCCTTATTTGAGGAGATGACATCTAAGTTATGTTTAAGAATAGGGAAGAGGAATATCATGCACTATAGTAAGGATAACATCTGAACAACTATCAGTTTAGTTTTTTGGAGTGTAGACACAAACTAAAAAAACCAAGGGCCAGCCAGGCAGTCGTGGTGCACGCTTTTAATCCCAGTACTTGGGAGGCAGAAGCAGGCAGATTTCTGAGTTCAAGACCAGCCTGGTCTACAGAGTGAGTTCCAGGACAGCCAGGGCTACACAGAGAAACCCTGTCTTGAAGAAACAAAACAAAACAAAACAAAACAAAACAAAACAAAACAAAACAAAACAAAACAAAACAAAAACCCAGAAGGCCTTTTACTATGTATGGTACACCTTTGCTACCCGTGGCTCTGCATGAGAACTAGGGCTCTCTTCAGCAGGCATGCTTATTTTGGACCCAGTTTACACTTCTGTAGGAATAGTCAATAAGTCTTTGGCGAAACAAAAACGTCATTACATTAATGAAGATAAATTTGAGCACAGTGTATAGACTATACTAAAGAAGCTAAGGAGGCTCACAATGACCTAACTAGCCTTTGTTGGTACTATTTAGAAGGAAGTGTGTTTTAAAGATGCTGGTAAACATGTTTAAACAGTAGTTAATGAGAGAGGGATCAAGTGTAATTGGGAAGCTAGGCTCACAAAAGGCGCATCTGGCCTGAGTACTTGTGCTTCAGTAAGCTCAGCATCTGGCACATGGCCTGTTCTAACTGTACAAGAGCTGTTACAAGCGAGAGCAGCAGGGGCTTGGAAAGTAAAGATGAAAATCTGACAGTTTGCTTAGACTGTTACCTATGAAAATAAGTGGATTGATCATAAAAATAAAGGTCAGATCAAACAGTAGTAGGAAGGTATGGTGGCACATACTTTTAATTCCAGCATTTGGGAGGTAGAGACAGTTCATAACTTGTGGGAGTCAGTGTTCTCCTACACCATGGAGACCAGAAGGCTATCAGGTTCAGTAACAAGCACAGTAACCAAGTAAGTTCCAAGCTAGCCTGGGCTACACAGCTAATTCTGGGCTAGCCAGTACTACATAGTAGGAGGGATGGCTCAGCAGTTAAGAACTTATTGCTCTTTCAGAGGACTTAGTTTTGGTTCTTAGTATTTACTTGGTGGCTTACAACCATCTATAACAGACATTTGCTGCCACCTTTTGATCTTCTTAGAAATCTGGCATGAACACAGTATATGAGTGTATACATACATGCAGGCAAAACACTCATAAATCTTAAAAAGAACAAAAGCTCGAAACAGGAGCAAAGATAAACCGAGACAACTTGAATTATACTGTTGAACTTGAAACATACTTTTATGTATTAATCACTTTTTTCATTTTTTTCTTAGACAAGGTCTCGTTATTACCTTCCTGCCTCCATCACCCAGGGCTGAGATTATAGGAATATGCTATTCTATCCAACAACCGCATTTTTAGTGTCAGCCAAGTTATCCAGACTGGTCTTATTTTAATCTTATAATAGTTATACAACTTAATAGACTTAAAATTAGACACAGTAGATATGTGATTTTCAGCTGGTTATTTTAATTGGCTGTGCATTATAGTTTATATATAACATAATAACAAATTATGTTATTTATTCATTAGACTGTTAATCCTTTGAAACTGTTTAGTTTACTCAGAGTTTCTAAACAGATTGCTCAGAATTATGTGAAATAGATGCTTCTTTTTACTTCCTCCGCCATTACCTTTCTTTTCAATTTTCTACAAAACAAACAAACCAACCCCTTACCTGTGGTACCAGAATGAACAGATAAGGACCTTTCTATCTGGAGTGGTGACATCATCTGTATTGTTAATTTTGCTAAGTAGATGGCTTCATATTCCTAAAAAAAGATTTTAAATAGTTCAGATACAAGATGAATGTATACACTTGTATTCTTAGTTTATAGGCAAAGGGCTGGCACTATCATCTTGCAAAAGGAATGAAGGTTCACAGTTCCTATCTGGTAACTGTCAGTTACTATAATTAGAAACCAAGTTCAATAGCTCACTGCCAGACACAATGTATCTTCTGCTACTGGGCATTAACTATAACGGTCTAATTCTATATGTTAAAATAGCACAAAGGATAGAGGGACCCAAAACTTAAACCTGCAATTTTATTAAATGGTTCTAAGAATCAATAAAAACAAAATTATCTTTTCCCAGTTTTCCCTGAACAAGTTTATCTTCCTCATCTCACAAGGACTTTGAAAGAGGTAATTACTCCTTCCCTTTGCAAAGTCTTCAACCTTCCATCCCTGAAACCAGAGCACCAGTATCTTCTTGCTACATCACTAGCCATCTCCTTTGCAGTTTTATTTCCAAATCCTCTACATGCCTGAGTGCTGTAGTATTCTGCCTTTGAAATGTTTCTCCTTCTTCCGCCTCTTCCTCTCTCTCCTCCTCCTCCTGATACAATCTCAAAGAACTGAGACTGGCTTCCAATGTGCTATTTAGGCAAGACTGGCCTTGATCTCTGATCCTCCTTCCTTCTGAGATTGCAGGTGTATAACAGTATACCTGGCAAATGTGACTTCATCAAATACTCCTTTACGCCGGGCAGTGGTGGTGCACGCCTTTAATCCCAGCACTTGGGAGGCAGAGGCAGGCAGATTTCTGAGTTCGAGGCCAGCCTGGTCTACAGAGTGAGTTCCAGGACAGCCCTGACTACAAGAGAAACCCTGTCTCGAAAAAACAAAACAAAACAAAACAAAACAAAATTATTCCTTTACCCTGTTACTAGGAATGGATCCCAAAGGCTTATCCATCCTAGCAAGCAAGGTGAGAAAGCAGTCTGCTGCTAGCTATACTCCCCAGTCTTTTTTTTTTTAAAGATTTATTTATTTTTATTTTATTTATGAGTACACTATTGCTGCCTTCAGACACACCAGATGAGGGCATCAGATCCCATTACAGATGGTTGTGAGCTACCATGTGGCTGTTGGGAATTAAACTCAGGACTTCTGAAAGAGCAGATGGTGCTCTTAACTGCTGAGCCATCACTCCAGTCCTAATAGCTGTTTTTGTTTGTTTGTTTTTACTAGTCTTGAACTCACAGCAATATGCCTGCCTTTGCTTCTGAAGCAGAGGCAGGGGCAGAGGGGCAGAGGGGCAGAGGGGCAGAGAGGGGCAGAGAGGGGCAGAGAGGGGCAGAGAGGGGCAGAGAGGGGCAGAGGCAGGCAGATCTCTGTGAATTCCAGGACAGCCAGAGCTACATGATAAACAGAAACAAAAATTATTAAATAAAGATGCAAACTGGAATAATCATCAGATTAGTCAGATTATAATATCAAGTATTTAGAAAGTAAATTCTACAACTAAGCTGTATAGACAAGGCATTTTATTCATCCTATACTCTGCCTTAAACAGAGTGGACATAGGAGTTCATTACCTGAAGTTGGTGGACAAATCCAGCATTAGGATTAATACAAAATCTCCTTTCTTGGACATAAGCAAATGCATCTCTGAAAATGGAAGAAGAAAAATTAATATAAAGGACCTATTTAATGAAATAATCTAAAATATTTTTTCAATTTTAAATTTATTTGAAGGTGGGTGGGAGATAATATTGTGTACCTTAAATCCCAGCCCTCAGGAGGCAGAGGCAGGTAGATATCTGAGTTCAAGGCCAGCCTGGTCTACAGGGTTGTTTCAGAACAGCGGGGGCTACACAGAAAAACCCTGTCTCAAATAAACCAAAGAGGAATTTATTTGAAATTTCCCCCAAGGCTGGGGATAGAACTGTTTAGCTAACGCAAGGCCCTGGGTTCAATCCCCAACACAGTAGAAAAAAAACCTGCAACATAAAAAACCACCTAAATAATCTGCCAAAATAGTAAACAATAGTCATTCATAATACTACAGAGAGGTGATGAGTCGTGGTGGAGAGAAGTTAGGCCAACTAAATTCACAGTTCCTAGGCTCACCACCTACAACAGGAAACTTGCTCCATGGTTTTTCACTGGTAAATCAGGCATTGTGATGCTGCTTCTGGAGGACTGCTGTGCAGATGAGAGAAGTGCGAAGCACTTCTGCATGCGGCATACTTGTCCCATGGTGCACATGCACAAACATTAAATGAGAAGTGAACTCCTTTGTGTTATAAGCTTAGATGTGATATCTAGTAGTAAACACCACGGATCAAGAGATTATATGACAAGATCCCAAATAAGAAAAATATTTTTCAACTGTTTGCATTCAGATATTTAAAAACTGTATCAATCAAAATTTATACATGTATACAGTGTGTTCTAATTTGCCCTATTCCCCTCATCCTTATGAACCCAGCCACAACGCCATCTGGGCTCTGGATCCTTGCCTCCTCAGTCTACCAGTCCCTTTCTGGTATTAATCACTTTTGGTGTTGTGAACCTGTTGTGTAGCAGTTTCCTTCAAGGTTGTAACATTCCTTCCTGTAGGGAACCCAAAGAAACAAGTCAAAAGCTTCAGGAAGTCCCTGAAACTGACCAGATTTAGAAGCCTTTCTCTCCATAGTAAAGAGTAAAGACTGATGCAGTCACCCTCAGACAAACCAAACTGCTTCAAAGAAGGAGATAACCACTAAGCTGCCTGAAAGAGCTTTACACTCAAGGACTAAGTCATATGGAAAGAACATTCTTTAAGCAGTTGAGTGTGTTCCAGATTCCCAGCATTTGTGACCTACCACACAGGCAGGGGCGGGCTTTGGTGATGTCAACTGTCTTTGATTCATTTCTGCTCCTCTAAGTAATTTCTCAACCATATTTCTGTCAGTAACCCTAATAAAATTCATTGGTTCACCAAGTTGGGCTGTGGTGATTGATACCCATACTTTGGTCTATTGTGGACTCCATATGGGAGGTAAGTAGGTATGTACTAAATCTCCACAGGAAAAGTCTTGTCACTCAATAGACCCATTTAGTGTGTGACCTTGGATTGAAACTATCTACTGGAGCCTGTAGGGTCATCAATGGATAACTGACAGCGAAGTTTTCTACTCTGCCTAAATCTGTCAGAGGCAACTACATAAAAAATGTGTATGAGAGCTTTGCTTGTGTGTGTGTGTATGTATGTGTGAGGTCTGCATGAGGCCAGAAAAGTGTTGAATTCCCTGAAACTGTTAAAGTTATAAGCCTCCACGTAGTGCTGGGTACTAAAGCCAGGTCCTCAGCCAGCCATTTCTCACAAATACTTTGAAGTTTTCTGTTTGGAAGTGATATAGAGTGGACAGGATTTCTAGCTTTCTTAATACTAAGAAAGGTAATACTGTATACTAGTAGTTTGATTTTTATTACATTTTTATTATGAAGGTCTTATTCTCTTTAAAAAAAAAAATCTATATACTGATTGTAAGAGATGATTTTGAGTGTGAAAGATCACCCAGATTTATAAGAGGTGCTACAGACAATTCCTAATTACTTGTTTCTTTTCTTAGACAGGGTCTTGATTTGCAGCCTTGAATTTTCAGTAATCTTACTTTAAATCTGCTGAGTATTTTGATTACAGGCATATTCTACTATTCTACTATACCCAGTAGATGTCAACTGAAGTAAGATAAACACCGACATTTGTATCCAGAGTTTTTAAGCTGAAACTAATCAATTCCCTAATGGCAATTTTCCAGTTTTGCCTAACCAACTATGAGTATCTATCTATAAAATATCTATCTATATTAAACCTTAAATTCCCAACTATTGTATTAAGTCTACTTCAGTGAGAGTGAACTGTTGCTAGGTTTGAATGTTAGCTTACCTGTACTTCATCCCAAAGGTCTCCATGATGTATGCAATAACAAAGGCGGCACTGAAGACAGAGAAACAATTAGAAAACACAACTCATAACTAAACACAAGAAACAAAGATTATCTATCTTCATACCTTCTAGAGATACCTGCATTCCCATGGACAAGAACTTTTCCTGAAAAAATTAAAAAAATAGTTAATCATTTAAGAAAATAAGATTTTGAATGTAAAATATACTAAAGCCACATATCAGACTCTACAGTGAGTCTTCCTTAGATACTTTATTTCATGTACTTGCCACTTAGCTATTAATTTTCAAGTCTTTATTTTAATTATGTAAAGAATACAACAAATTTTAGGAGAAACTGAAAGTAGTGGAAGAATTTTAAAAAGCGTAAGATGAAATTAAGTAGCTGGGAAAATATACATTTGAGTATCATCTGCCATATAAAAATAGAATTTATCCTACATTCAGAAAAAATATCAACTAAAAGGTAATTGGAACAAAAACTCCTAAAAATAAACAAACACTACTGACTGGAGAGATGGCTTAGTGGTTAAGAGCACATGTAGCTCTTGCAGAGGACCAGGTTTGACTCTCAGCACCCACAGGGAAGCTCACAACTATCTGCACTCCAGTTATAGGGAATCAGATGAACTCTTCTGCAGGCTGCAGGCACACATGTAGTGCACATACATACATGTAGATAAGATACTCATACACACAAAAATAAATCTTTAATAACAAAAAAATTATTTACCTCCATTTTGTAAGCTTCCATCAATAAACTCTTTAGTCTGAGGGTAAGAGAGAGCGTGTTACAAAAAATAGTAGAGTAAGATGAACATATTATATAGTAAAACAAAAGGACGCTGAAAGTTACAGAGCAACATTGAATCTTTAAAAAAAAAAAAAAAAACCAACCCTTGGGCTGGCAAAATGGCTCAGCAGGTAAAGGCACCTACCACAAGCCTGATGACCTAAGTTCTATCCTGGAACACAAGGCAGAGAGAACAGACTCCCAAAAGCTGTCCTCTGATCTTCATATGCACATCATGGCACACACAAGTGTGTGTGCATGCATGATCATAAACACAAAAAATGTAATACAATTAAAAAAAACACCTCAATGAGGTGCCTGGTGAGATGGATCAGTGGTAAAACAGCACTCTCTGTCCAACTGCCCATGCAGAAGACCAGTGGTTGGTTCCTAGAACCCACATGATGGCTCAGAACCATCCCTAACTCCAGTTCTAGAGGATCCAATACTTTCTTCTGATTTCTGTGGGCTCTTGTATCCATGTGATACACATGCATATATTCAGGCAACATACAAAATGAGTATCAACAACAACAACAACAACAACAACAAAAACCCTCAGTGATACGACTTTTAAAGGTTTTTTTTTTAAATACTTCACTTTCTTTATAAAGTAAACCCTACTTTTTTTCCAGTTATAATAGAGTAGAAATAGTTTTACAATCTAAATTATTAGGCCAAATCATAAATCTTAAGTGATATAAAAATACTGATACTTACCATAGGAAAAAAACGTATTATGTTTTCAACTGGATTATCAGCAATATCCAAGACTAAATATCTGAAAACAAAGCACTTATGGTAAGTATACTCTCAGATAAATCTCTATACAAAAACTTGAAGTTTTAAAATAAAAATAACATTTCATTTCTTTATTTCTGATAAACTATCATTCTTAATTACATTTCTATCCCACTGATCTTCCATGTAAGCAACTTATCTATCTATGTGATGTCTGTGTATAAAAATTTTGACTTCTTTTGTTTGTTTTCTTCAAGATAACTTCTCTGTGTAGCTCTAACTGTTTTCGAACTTGATTTGTAGACCAGGCTAGCCTCAAACTTTAGAGATCCACCTGCCTCTACCTCCCAAGTACTGGGATTAAAAGCACTACCGTCCAGCTAACAGTCTGACTTTCTATGAGCTGTATGTTTTTTACTATGAGAAGATTTGTATCTATTTTTAACATAATATTTTTATTAGTTTTTTGAAAATTCCAACAGATGCATACAGTGTATTTTGATTATATTCATTTCCATTCGTTCCTCCATAGTTCTCCAGAACAGAGATTTTACATCCTCCTCTCAACAAACTTCGCACCCCTTAAAAAAAGAAAACAAAAGATTTATTTTTTTCCTTTTCTTTTTTCCTACGTAGCTCTGGCTATTCTGGAACTCTGCCTCCCCAGTGCTGGGATTGTGTGCTATTAAGGTATCATAATTAGTTTTTAAAAAGACTTTATTATATGAATGAGTATTTGACCTGTATGTATGTATGTATGTACATCATCTCATGTGTGCCTGCTACCCAGGAAAGATAGTGAGGGCATCTGGATCCCTTCAAACTGGAGTTACAATGGCTGTAAGCTACCATGTGCATGCTGGGAACCAAATCCAGGTCCTCTGCGAGAGCAGCCAGTACTCTTATAACCACTGAGCTATTTCTCCTGCCTCTGATAACTTTTGGTAATCATAAAAAGTGCAAAATAATTTTCAGAGTATCATTATCTCTAGGGACTGTGTCATAGACTTATGTTGTCTGAGGACATTTAAAGCCTTACAACATAACATCTGATATCTCAGTATAAAATGTTTATCTAATTAAAAAAAAAACATAAGTAGTAAAGACAGCTTCAGAGTCAATCTAGAAAATCAGTACAAAAGTACATCTACCCCTCACTTCCATTTCCCATCTCTATCAGTTCCCTGGGAGTTGGGGGGAAGATGATTCTCTAGAGGTCTGGTGTTCCTTGTCTTGGCACCTTCAGAGGACATTTCAAATGACTGTGAAAGAGGGAGTTCAAAAAAATGGTGTGGTGGCCCAGTTCTGTAGTTCCTGCAGTTGGGAGGTCAAGGCCGGAAGTTCCAGGCCTGAGTTCCAGGCCTGAGCTACTGAGATCCTAGTTTCAAAAAAAAAAACAAAACAAGGGGCGGAGAGATGACTTGGTGGTAAACAACATGTGTTGCTCTTTTACAGGTAGCTCACAACTGCCTGTAACTTCAACTCCAGGGAGACTGGATACTTCTGGGCCCCAGGGTACCTGCACTCACATGCACATAGCCACACATCTATACATAATTAAAAATAATACATCTGATTTGAGAAAAGATAAATTAAAATAAAAAAAAAAAGCCATAATGAAACTAAAAAAAAAATAATAATACATCTTTTTAAAATTTCTGGTGAAACACTGAGTCAACCATTCATTGTTTTGAACTGATCTTTAGTAAAGCAAAAAATAGCTACAAGAATTCTTATTGTGGAGTTTCATGGTAGAAAAGAAAATACGGTACCTTCACTATACTATGCTTTTTTGCATGGTATATTTTCTTTTTTTTTTGCAAAAAACTTCTAACTTCAACCTATCCAATATCATTTGTTTAGGAAAAAACTTTAGCTAAATTATGAAATTAGTATTATAAACCAGTACTTCCCAGGCTCCTGTTAAACTTAATTCAATTGACCCCTGGAAAGAGAAGGAAAGCAGTACCATCAACAGCCAAGCTGCAGACCCAGAGAATACTAAGGCAGAAGCCTTTACAGAAACCACACCCAGCCCTACAGCCAACACCCTCTACTAGTCCCAAGTCAAAACCCATGGATCAATTTTAATCTTGCCATTAACACCTCCAACTCTAAAACTGCAGTAAGTCAAACATTTCCTTCATGGCTAAAAAGTTAAGACACAAACATTCCTCACAGTTAAAAAAACAAAAACAAAAACAAAAACATAAGAATACTTAAAACTTTAGCTGGGTGTGATGATTTACACCACTAAATCCAGCACTCTGAGGCACAGGCAGGGGGATTTCTGAGTTCAAGGATAGCCTGGTCTATAGAAAGATCCAAACTTTGTCTTGAGGGGGACTTTTTTTCAAATGTTTTTTCTAATAGTATAGTGTATAATAACTGATGACAGTATAGAGTATAATGTATAGTAGCTTCACAGGAGGCTGAGGCAGAGAGGTCACTTTTGAGTCCAGTCTGAGCAGCAAACTGCCTTGCAGACAGAAAACAAACAATTCTAACAGTGGAAAAGTTGTACAGGATGAAATAGATTCCTTGCTATCTTGGACCATGACTTTCCCTTCTCAGAAGCAACTACTCAAGCTTCAGTGTACATATAAGAATACATGAACTTGGGACTGGAGCTGGGCATGACACACACCTTTAATTCCACCACTGGAGAAGCAGAGGCAGACAGATCTTTGAATTCAAGGTTAGCCTGGTCTACAGAGTGAGTTCCAATACAGCCAGGGTTTCACGGAGAAACCCCATCTCAAAAACAAACAAAGAAACAAACAAACAAATGATAAAAAGAAAGATAGACAAACAGACAAAATTAAATTTTGGATTTGAACAGATGGCTCAGTGGTTAAGAGGACTTGGCTGCTTTTGCAGGGAACCTGGGTTTGGTTCTCAGCACCAACAAGGCAATTCACAACTAGTTCCAGGGGATCTGATGTCCTCTTCTGATTTCCAAAGGCACTTACATGGTACAGAGATATACATGCAGACAAAACACATACACAAAGCATACGTATTTTAAATACTGGGACTATACATCTATGTGTACCCTGCTTTGTTCTTATAATCACTAAGATCAACATACACATCTGTTTAATTCCTGTGTAGTTACATAATATTTTACTACATGCTCACACATTCAAATGCTTTATACTCATTTTTATAAGTAGTAATGCAAAGAATTAAGATGTTTTTAACATTTGGTTTATGTATCCTAAGTTTAAAAACTATTTCTAACAAATACTTTATATGGAGATAGAATATCTCTTTAAAGATATTAAAAAGAACCATTGGTAGTAGGCTCTCTCCCAATAATCAAGTGGCTCATTGCCTTTGTCTTTAGCATGTGTAATACAGCCTATACTACTGTTCTATTATTTGTCTTATTTATGAATCAGGTTCAATTTGGAGCCCAGCCTCCTAAGTGGTAGGATTATAAGCATGTACCACCACATCCAGCTTATTTTTAAAATGAACCTAAAATAACAAATATTAAGATTATTAATTATTCAACTGCAGTAATTAGGAGATAAATGGGAAAGCTAAAATTATATGACAAAGTATTTAACTCCACCAGATTGAAACAAATTTCAGTATTTTATAACTTTGTCTTGGAGAAATAATAAGGGAACAGTCACTCATACTTGACTGAAACATAAACAAATACACTGCACTGGAGGGCAATCTGTAATGCCTATTAAAATGTATCATACTCATATTCTTAGGTCCAACATTTCTATAAATTTACCCTATCAGTATATTCACATATAAACTAAATGACATGCTCAAAGATGGTCATGGCATATTTCAAGAATACAAAAGAAAGTCTGCAAATATAGAAATGTGCAGTAAGACATTGACTGAAGCTGGCTATGGTATACACAAATGTAATCTTAGTCCTTAGGAAGCAGGGGCAGGACAATATTCATTTAAGACCAGCCTTGGCAACATAATAAGACCCTGTCTCAGAAAGACAGACAGACAGACAAAGAGAATATATGAGGGTTTCGAGGAAGACCAAGGAGATAGCACATTGGGTAGGGCACTAGACATAAGTGAAAGGGCCTGAGTTCAAATCTCCAAAACCATATAAAAATCTTGGTAGGGGAGATAGAGAAACAGCTCAGTAGTTAAATGAACTGGCTACTCTTCCAGAGGACTGAGGTTTGATTCCCAGCATCCATGTGATAGCTCACAGCTGTAATTCCAGTTCCGGAAGATCTGATGCCCTCTTCAAATTTCCATGGGCATCAAGTGCAAAACAGTACACCGACATACATACAGGCAAGACACCCATACATGTAAAATAAAAGTTTTTATGCAATATATTTTGATCACAATTTTTCCCTTTCCCTAACCCTTCCCATATCCTCTACACCTCCATTCCCAATCAATTTCAGCTGTTTTTCTATTAAAGACAGACAGACAGACACACACACAAGTCAAAACAAAGTAAACAAAACCCCACAAGACAAAATATACACAGAAAATATATACAAATATATTTTTGTGGCATGGGGCCTCCCCTGTAAGTCCAATTCCAGGGGCATGTGCACTCATGTGCCCATATCCACAGAAAGACAAACATACACATAATTAAAAATATTATCTAGAAAAGAAAAGCAAGGTTTGGAAGCTCAGATCTGTAATCCCAGTACTCCAATGGCAAGATGGGACGCATAGGCTTCAGGGGACTCCCCTGAAGCCCGTGGGCCAAACTAACATAGCATATGCTGCTGCAAACAATAAAAGACCAAGTCTTAACTCAGTTGCTTCTTGACTTCTGTATGTTATCAGGGGTGGGAGCCGACTCAAAAACTATTAAGTCAAAACAACCTTATTTACAGAAATATGCTTCTGAATGGACACAATGAAGAAAAATAGTAGGTGCCTTTGAGGAAGGGGACTGAGTACCTAGGAGATAAGGAGTACAGAAACACAGTCTAGAATTATGAATCAGATTTAAATATTTTAAATAAATTCTATTAAAATATATACTATATAGCTGACACTTGTGAAATATCTGAAAGTTATATTATGTAACAAACTTAAAACCAAGTCATTACAGGACAGAGAAAATGCTTACCTATCATGCTTGGGGCTCTGTGTTTAATCTTAAAATACTTTGAAGATCAATAATAATAATAATAATAATAATAAAACAACAATACATGTTTTGTCCTTAACATTTTTTCTATAAAGCACAGCAATAATTCTTACCTAAATAATTGTTGAAAGTTTGGTTTAATAAAGTTTGCTTCAATATTTTGCCGTATGCAAATTATATGAGTTATGCCATGTTTCTGCAATATAGGTAGCTATAAAAAAAAGTGGGGAGAGATAATAGTTTAAAATACAGAACATCACATTACAATAATATGTCTCAAAATAGACAAGACTCATATCTAATTATTAAGTACAGAAGATTAAAGCTAATTATTGGTAAGTGACCTGACATGATCCACAAGACAATTCAATGATTCAAGCTTAACACACAAAATGTTCTCTGAACTTTAACATGGACATCATTTATGTTTATTTCTTGAGCTTGACGAGAACTTAAAAGATGATTTTTCAAGAAACCAGTACTACTAACAATTGTGGCTAAAACCAGAGAGTTTAGAATCATGAGTTCCTAAGCTAGAAATCCTAGGTCTGCCAATGACCTGAGCTCTGTGGCTCAGTTTTGTTCTGTGAGAATGGGAAACATTACCCTTACCTGAGCAGTTACGATAATTGTAAGGAAAGAAAAAAATGTGTACTATAAAGACAGTCTAAACAAAGTCATGAGATGGAAAGCCCATGCGTGAGCATGACCTTTACAGGACAAAGAAAAGAGCCTGCTCACTCTATCCCCCATAAAGCAGAGATACACCATCTGAGAGACAAAGTCAGGCTCTCAAGAACTCACTGTGTGAGGCAAGTGATTTTCTCAGCAGTGTCCAAATTAACTAAACAATATGGTTTTCTTAAGTTAATTGGAGTTGTTAACTGTATTTTCTGAGTATATCCTGGTATATAAGCAGGAGTGTTTGTTGAATTACTTAGAAGTGTTTGATGGGATTAATAGAGCCAATGTTCTATGTTTACATGTATGCAAACTCCAAAATTAACAGCATTTATTCTTTAATTTACACTTAATAATTAAGATAAAGTTTCTGCATCTACTTTTTTTACTAATATGAAAAACCACAAGAGGGCATGAAGAAATCTGCTGTAAGTGGGCATGGTGGCACAAGCCTTTAATATTAGTACCTGGGAGGCAGAAGTGGTGGTGGATCTGAGTTTGAGGTTATCTTGGTCTACATAGCAAGTTCCAAGTCAGCTTGAGTTACATAGTGAAACCTTGTCTCAAATAGTAACAACAAAGAAAGCAAACCAAACCAACCCAAAAACTCCTTTAAAAGCTTTCAAGGCACATTTTAAAGCAAAGCTTATCAGAATGAAATTCTAATGCAATAGCAGAATGTATTTGTACCTTTCAATAGAAGCATTTATAAAAAGTAAACTATGACCTTACCTTCTAAATACAAATAGACAAAAGTTATAAAAAGATAGATCACTGGCTAACAAGCAACCTGAATTAATCTCTTTTATTTAAATGGTATTTGGACACAGTAAGATATGCCTTTAGTAAATCAATCTTTTAAAAGGTGTTCATCTCTCTAGGTTTCTTTATCCCCAGTACTAATTTTTATGGTCAAAAGGTACTTTTGTGGGGGTGGTATGAGTAGAAATTTGGGATATATTATGGTAACTCAGATTGAGAAATATGCACAAAGACAACAAAGGATTAACAGGAGTTGGTGGAGGACAAGAGAGGGAACAGGTATGTGTTTAAATATCAAAATGGTTTATATACATGAAATAAAAATGTCATAGTAAAACCAATTACTAGGCATAATTATAAATGCTAATATGGGTACAAATGATTGTGAGGACTTGCATCTGGTCATTACATTCTAGGGCAACAGCTTTGCCGACACCATCTTCCAGGAAGTCAAAGCTCTATTTGTTTATTCACTGTTGTATCATCTACCCTTTCCAGCTTCCTTGTTGGTCATCTCACTAACAAGAACCTTCAAACTTCAGGATGACTCTGAAAATTATTGACATGAAACTATCATACAAAAGTATACTGAATTCTGAATCAGCAAGCCCTTGAGGAAAATATGCTATATACAATGTTTCACACTATATATCACTCAAAAAGAATTAGTACCATCTCCATAATTCATAAAGCTGAGAATTCCTTAGAAAGTGGCAAGATCACCACTAAAAACTAAAATAAACACCCCCATCCTAACTGAGCAACTGAAGAAGCCTATTTCCAATGTAAAGGAAGAACCATTATAAAACATGTACTCTTACTTTGATAAAAGTTAACACCCCGTTCTATTTCCTTCTCTGATACTTTGCATGTATACTGGTCAGAAGATGCCTGGCAGGTACAGATATAACATTTTAAGATAGTAAATAGATTAATAAAATTTACAGGATTGGTAAATCTATCAAACATAAGATTTCATGAGAAAAATAAATTATAAAAACTCACTTGTAATTTGTGGTGAATCACTTCAAAACTATTAATGGTCCAGTAAATTTAAAAGTAGGTTCAAGTATTATGAACACAGTTGTATATAAATGTTTCCTAGTATAAAACTCTTACTATTAAAAACTTACCCGATAAAAAGTTGGTTTACTAAAGTCTCTTGGAGAACCTAACCTAAAGTTCATACCTTGCTTTTCATAGCAGAAGAGTATGGGCCTAAGAACAATCCAGGCAAAACTTCCTAGGGGGAAAAATACATACGTAAATTTTAAACCTATAGCAAATATGTATCATATAGCTCAATTTGTTTCTGTGTCCAGGGGCTAATAGCTTTTGCAATATTCTGGTTAAGACTTTGATCAGGGAGCATTTCCCAGGCACATTTAGCAAACTGAGACGAGAAACACAGGTGTGCCTTTATAAATTGAAGCGAGATGTTCCCAATTATGTTTTACTCTAAAAAGCCAGATATTTGAGATCCTATAATGCTTTTCTATAAGTAGGACTGGATATAATCAGCAAATTATATTATTGATGCCCACATTAACAAATCTTTTTTAACGTCTATTATCAGCTATAGCCTAAAAATAAAACAAGCATAAAGAAAATCATCCCATTAGAATTACATTTACACTAACTTTTATTTGGTCAAAACAAAAAACAGTGCAATAGCCAGGTGTAGTGGAACTTAGCTATAATCCCAGCACCCAGGAGGTTGAGGAGGAGGATCCTGAGTTTGAGCCAGTCTGGGTTACATAGTAAGTTCCAGGCCAGTAGGAGGAACTCACATCAGACCCTGTTCTTTCTTCAGAAACAAAGCAGCACTAGATGAAACAGGATACAACTGTCATCACAGTAAGTAAATGCTCAGCTAACTGTAATCAATCCCTGTAGATAGCACTGTGTTCACTGGCTTTTTCATTTTAAAATAGCATTCTCCTAACATAGCTAAGGCTGGCCCTACACTCCAGGCAGTTCTCCTGCCTCAGCCTCTTGAGTGTAGAGATTATAGGAATGGTCCCGACAGCATCTTACAAGTATGAATTAAATTTTACTTATGTTTATATTCCCTATAGCGTCAAGTTAGTTCTCATATGGACTCACATACAGTTAAAGGTCTAAAAGGGAGCTTTCTTCTTTTCTCTCTCCGTTTTAATGGAGCAGAGTTGGGGTTTAATAAAACATGAGGCTTAAAAGAAAAACACTTAGAAGGAAAGCAAGACACCTACCTGAGAGCACTGATGTTGGCTTCCCAAAGAAGTGTCACTTAAAAAGTGAGTTTTCATTAAGAAAGGGAGCAGATCTTTGCAAGATATGGGATTAAGAGTGAGGGGCACTGCTTATCTTGAGGACTCACAAAGTTGACTACAAAGAATAAGAAACACCAAAGAGAACTCACTCCAAAGGATGAATAGTCAACTCACTGAATACTAGATAAATGAGTTATGGAGGTCAACTGGAATGGAGACATTAAAGAATGAAAAACTATCTAAAAGCTTCAATTATTTTATGGTCAAGTCTCTTGAATTTATCCAAATTAGACAGCAAAGAAAACTGCTTTAAAAGGAAAACAAGCATTCCATTTTTTTTTGTTTGCTTTTTTTGTTTTTTTGTTTTTGTTTTTCGAGACAGGGTTTCTCTGTGTAGCCCTGGCTGTCCTGGAGCGCACTCTGTAGACCAGGCTGGCCTCGAACTCAGAAATCTGCCTGCCTCTGCCTCCCAAGTGCTGGGATTAAAGGTGTGCGCCACCATCGCCTGGCAAGCATTTCATTTTTTAAATGAGGAAAAGCAGTGATTCATTAAACACATCCACATATTGCTATGATCTTAAATATAATCCAAGTAATATAAAAAATTCATTTTATATATTAAAATTTTTGACACAAATGGTACATATTTATCACATGATATTTTAATGTATATATACACTGTACAATACTCATAACTTGGTAAATACGACAAATCTACAGATTACGAACCAGCAGGTCTCCTTTGTCAAGCATAAGTTATTAAATAATAGGGGTTGTTTGAATAAATTAAAAGTTGCCATACCTGCATCTCCCGTCTCATAGGGTAAGTCCACTCCTTGGAAAGAAAAACAGAAATAAACAAACAAATAAAAATAAATAGCATGAAAAATATCACGTTGGCTCAAGTCTCACAATTTCAGATTGATCCTTGAAATCCAAGAGACAGAAACCAGAATCCTGAATGCTAGCTACCCTTTGAGCCCAGGGCTGCAAATAAATAAAAATAACCAGGTATGGTGGCATGTTTATAATACCAGAATTTAGATGATAAAATCCAGAGGATTGCCAAGTTCTTTGGCGGCCTGGTCTACACAGTGAATGCCAGGCCAACCAGGGCTTCTGTCTCTCTCTCTCTCTCTCTCTCTCTCTCTCTCTCTCTCTCTCTCTCTCACACACACACACACACACACACACACACACACTCTCTCCTATAGCAAACACCCCTGGTGACAGAAATCAGATTACAATTTGCCTGGTGTTATATCAGGTGGAATGCCTATAGACATTGGATACCTTTCTTCTTTTAGTTTCTTTTATTAAATTTAATTTTCTTTTGCTTTATGTGTCTGGGTGTTCGTCTGTCTGCATTATGCCTATGTACCACTTGTGTTCCTGGTTTCTTCAGAGGCAAAAGAGAGTGTTAGATCCTCTGGAATTGGGGTTATAGATGCTTGTGGGCTGCCATGTTGGTGCCTGAAGTCAACCAGGTACACTAGAAGACCAGCCGCCACTGAAACATCTCTCCAGGCTCAATGGGATACCTTTTTAAACTGATATAGATATTCTTCAATCTTAGCCTGGCATGATGGCACATGACTTTAATTTCAGCATTCGGAAGCAGAGGCAAACAGATCTCTGAGTTCAAGACTGCCCTAGTCAAAATGTGAGTTCTAGGATAGCCAGGGCTACACAGAGAGACCCTGTCCCAAACAAACAAATGAAAACAAAGATCACTTATCCAAAATGACAGACCATATAACAAAAATAAAGACTAATCCATGATAGGAAAAATTCAAAAGGAGAACTGTCTTAAGAGTTTTTATTGCTATAAGGAAACACCAGAGTAGAAGCAACTTGGGAGCAGGAAACAGTTTAATCTGGTTTACAAATCCCTAGTCACTGTCTACTGAGGGAAGCCACACCAGGAATTCAAACCAGATGGGAACCTGGAAGGAAGAGCTGACACAGAGGCAATAGAGGAGTGCTTCTTACTGGCTTCCTCCTCATAGTTTTCTCAGTTTGTTTTCTCAGAAAACAAACAAGCTATGACTATAGCTTGTGTCAGGCTGACAAAAAATTGGCAGCATAATACCTGTTCTAAAAGCTCAGTGTTACAAGCTCAGAAAAAAAAAAAAAAACACTTTTCAAGTACAAAGAATAAAAGGCAATCCTATATGAAAGCATCTCTGGAAAGGTAGCTCAGGCATCAAGACCAGAGCTTTGATTCCAGTGCTCATGTTATGGGCTAGGAAACCTAAAATGTGTATAACACCAGCTCTGAGGTAGGCAGAGCCAGGAGGATGGCTTGGGACTTCTGGCTTCCAGCTTTGCCAAGAAAACATGAGCCCCAGGTTCAGGCAGAGACCCTGGCTCAGAACAGCCATAGTGATAAATGACTGTGTGCATATACACAACATCCATTTATGTACACAAGTAAGACTTTATAATCCTTAAAAACTTCCTCCAAGCTGGGCATAGTAAACACCTTTAATCTCAGCATTGAAGCGACTGAGGCAGGTGGATCCCTGTGTGTTCGAAGCCAGCCAGGACAGACCCTACCTCCATCCATCCCCCCAATAACTTCTTATAAAAACCAATTTTATTTTTTAATAAATAAAAATAAATAAATAAATAAATAAATAAATAAATAAATTTTTGAGAAAAGATTTCCCTGTGTAGTCTTGGCTGTCCTGGAACTTGCTCTGTAGACCCAGCATGCCTGCAACTCTGAGATACATCTGCCCCTGCCTCTCAAGTGCTGGAATTAAAAGCATGTACCATCATGCCTGGCTATAATTTATAAGCAGATTCTTATTAAAGAAACTTTTTAAAATGTTATGTTAAAAAAAGTATTAACATTGTGTATATTTATACTTTATTTTAAATTCTACTTAAAGAATTTTATGTGTCCCCCAGAATTTTAGTTTTTAGAGATTTATTTTTATTACTTTACATGTATTAGTGTTTTACTTTTGTGTATGTATGTGTGCCATGTATGTGCCTGGCTCCCTCAGAGGCCAGAAGAGACCATCTATGTCTTAGTAGTGGTGCTGAAGTTGTAATCTGCTCTATGACTGCTCCTCTGCAAGTGCTCTCACCTGCTGAGCCTTCTCTCCAGGCTCACCTCGAGTCTAGACGCTCTAGATGCAGAGCTTACTTTCATCATTAGTACATCTCTACTCAGCCTTTCAACGTGAGCAAAAAACCTTATGGGAAACATATCTTTAAACAAAGACTGATTATACGAAGTGGCAATTGTAATTCCTGAGATTAACAGAATAGAAGAGAATCTTATTTTCAAGTCAGTAAAAACCAAAACAAAACAAAACCCAAAAACCAAAACAAAACAAAAAACCAACCAAAAAAAATTAGCCAAACTTGGTATCTGTGTGTTTCTTCAACCTACCAGTAGATAATGATTATCTTTTTCTTTTTTTGGTTTTCCAAACAGGGTTTCTCTGTGTAGCCCTGGCTGTCCTGGAACTCATTCTGTAGAGTAGGCTAGCACATTCACAGAGAAATGATTATCTTTTCCATAGAAAAGTTTCAATGATTTAGGCCAAAGACACTGTCATTTTTAGCGATGGTGCCCCTAATATTAAGCATGGTGCGTTACAAGGAATAACCACACAATGAGTGTGTATTCTGAAGATAGCTGCCATTTGGCTGTAGACATTGCAGCACTGATGGATCTCTGAGTTCAAGGCCAGCCAGGTCTACAGAGTGAGTTTGAGGACAGCCATGGATACAAAGAGAAACTCTATGTTGAGGGAAAACAAAATATTGAGTCTATGAAATCTGACAATAGACAGAATAGGAGAAAAGGCACACACCTTTATTATGTGCACAGGGTAAACATCCAATCCCAGTGATATATAGAAGCTTAAAGCTGAGCATGGTTGGCACCTGCCTGCAATCACAGCACTTAGGAGTCTAAGGTAGGATAGTAAGAGTTTTGAGACTATGTATGTGCTCGTGTCTAAGAAAGCTACACAAACCAGTAATCCAAGGACTCTTAGAACGGATGGTGTGTGATAAACCTGAGTGTGTGTGTGTATTTACTTCTCTTCTGTAAGTTTATCTTCTGTTGTTTACCGTTTACTGAACCCTTTTTTAGGATCAATTTCTAGGCAACTGGGTGGCATTCAGAAACCCTCTTCTGCATCTGCGATTTTATATATCCAAGTAACCAGCATGTCAAACAGCATTATTTTGGGGTAGACATTCCTAAATCCTTTCAATTTAGCAAGAAGCTAGGAAAAACTCAAAGCAACAGGATAAATGTGCTTTTTCATTAAAGTACTTTATCCCCCAAAAGATTTAAATCACGTGTAGGCATTCAATGCTATTAAATTACTTTAAGTTTTTTTTTTTAAAAAAGAACATCATAAAAGAGAAAATGAAATTTTAATCTCAATTTTTAACAAAAACAAGATTCCAAAGTTGTTTAACACTCCGTATAAGTTTGTAGATAATAGACCATGAAACTGTTCTCCATATTTATACCAAAAAAAGTTATTTCAAAAGGATGTGGTAGTACACATCTTTAAATCCTAGAATCCAGGAGGCAGAGGCAGGCAGATCTCTATGAGTTTGAGTCCAGCCTGGTCTATATACCAAGTTCCAGGACAGCCAGAGCTATACAGAGAAACCCTGTTGCTAATAATAATAATAATAATAATATTATTATTATTATAAGAATTAAAGCAAGTTGCATAGCAGCAAGAGAATGGAAAGTTATTTCCATTCACAGGTCACATACGCACATAACCTTATTTGGAGATCAACAAGTCTCACTGGAGTAAGTATGGATCAGAGAAAATTTCATCTGAAATTATTCCCGTTGTCATCATCAGATGCTGATCTTTGAGAGCTTTCTCATCTTAACCCTACAGCTATGGTGCGGATATGGTTTGAGTGTATCTCCCAAGGAACAAGTTTTGAAATGTCTAAACAAGGAATTAAAAGGTGGAAACTCAATCACAGTGTGCTGAGGGGGCTTCTGAAAGTGATTAGGTTTAGATAATGTAGTTAGCATAAACCTCATGACTATATCCTGAGTAAGAGGAAGACTAAATGGCTGACAGACAAGACAGACTAATGGATATATGACTGACACTGGGAGACATACATGGACACGTGCGCGCACACACACACACACACACACACTCCACAACCTACAAGAAGGCCATTACTCGCCTGGCAGTGATTTGATTTTCTATGCGGAAGAAACTGATGCCTTACATATATCACTGGGAAATAATAAGCCAATGTTGTTGATTTGATAAAAGCTATTATAAGAAGTTAACAGTTTTTGCAGGGTATAAATATAATAAAAGGGGTAGAAAAATTAAGCTCTAACTTCTAAGAATAGGGGACGGAGGAATTAAGATGTATTTAAAAACCCAAAAGAACTAGGAATCAGGACTCCACTGGCACTATGTACTGTGGTATATATATGCGAGTCTCCACTG